ACTTTGTGTGTATATTCTAATTCTGATGTGATTGCACTTAGTGTGCATATTACAATTATAATGTGATAGCACTGTGTGTGCTCATTTATGATGTAATAACACTGTGTGTGTTTATATGTTCTGATTATGTGATAGCATTGTGTAGTGCTTGCACACATACACTCATCTGACATAAGTACCTTGTATTTTCATAAATATACAGTGGGCTATGAAAATGAAATAAGGAAAGTTTTGATAGTGATTGAGAGGAAAAGAATATGAATATGAAATATAAAAGTTTTGAGAAGTGTCTGAATGAAAGTTTATGCAAAGTATATTATTTCTGATGTTGATTATCGTGATTTTGATAAAATTTTGAGATCATGGTTTTCAGGTTTATGATGAGGAAAAACGGCTTGGAAAGCCCAGTTTGAAAATTTTAAAGATTTTAATTACATTTATTTTTTATTTTTTGAATTATTTATGATATTCTACTAATATAGCTCACCCTAATTTTTTTATTTGTCTCACTAAGTTTTACTTAGCACGTGATGATTTTCATGCATAGGTTCGATGTTGGCATTTTAATCGATGAAGCTCAATTGACAACCGAATATTTCCATAAGGGGTTGAAGTGGATTTTAAAAAAATTAGGGAGTAAGGAGATTTAAGAGATAACAAAATTGATGCACAATGATTTATATAGTGGTTCGACTTCTCAATCAAGTCTACATCAACTACCTTAGCTCCTCGCTAAGGATTTTCCAAAAAAATCACTAATTTGTTCTTTCTTTTTATAGGATCAAGAGATAACCTCTACACTCCCTAGCTTTTCACTTGGCTAAGCTAGAACCACTCCCCTTTTACAAAGGTAAAAAAAATGTAAACAAGAAAACCTCACAAGGTAGGTGTTTACAAAATTAAGCTCACTAAAACACTAATATTTACAAGAGAAAGGAAAATAGGAATGAAAAAATTATCTCTTGTGTTTGATTGCTTGGATAGGTGTTCTAACCCTTCTTCAAGTGCCCTCAACTTGTTTTTATAGGCTGGAATGTATTTGTGGCTATTTCTAGCCGTTGGGGATTAATTTTCTGCAAAAATAAAACTGCACAGTACAGGGAGTATCGATACTCCTTTAATGAGTATCGGTAATTCCTTTATAATTTTTAAATCAACTAGCCATTACTAGTCGTTGGGCTTGATCAGTATCGATACTATGCTCATGGTATCGATACTACTTGTAAAGTAGTATTGGTACCCCTTTTGGGTATCGATACCTATTTTGCATTATGGAATTTGAGACAACTGGTAGTATCAATACTACCTAGAGGGTATCGATACTTCTATTACCTTTGGTATCGGTACCACATGAACAATATCAGTACTGTTCATATAGTATAGATAATTTAATAACAGTATCAATACTACTTTCCTAGAAAACATTTTGAGCTCAAATTCAAGTTTAATGGACTTTGAATTATTTTTGAAATCTTTTGAAATCTTTGAACAAATTCAATTCAAGTCCAAAAACATTTTGTCATAATTTGTTATATCAAAATATAGTTAAACAATCTCCCCCTTTTTGATATAACAAAACATTTGAAAATTTGTTTTTGACAAAACTCCCCCTTAATAAAACATTTAATGAAAAAAAACAATATTTGGAAAATATTAAAGCTCCCCTTTTTTATTCTTGAAATTAAATTTTTCAAACCGTATTTCTCCCCTTTTTGTTATATCAAAATTAATTCAACTTTAAAGTTCAGAGCTAACAATGGAAAGTAAGTGGAGAATCTTAAAATTAAAACCATTTGAAAAATCAAAGCTCCCCTCAAAAACTGCATTCCAAACAAGGATTTGACTTTAAAGAGCATGACACTTAAAAAAAATTGAATTTCAACAAAGATGAACAAACATGTGCATTTTAGTAACACATGAAATTCAATATATTCAAGTCTAAAATACTTTATGCAATACCAAATGTTGAATTTAAGAGCATGTGCATAAAGCTATCCAAAAATGTTTTGCATTTGAAAAATTGATATCAATTGTTAGAGAGAGATCATTTTTAATATATTGCATGCATAAACATTTAAATTAAGATCAAAATTTTAAAAATTTGTAAAAATAAACCAATATAACCAAAATTCATTATGATGAACTAAAAATTATTAAAAATCATTAAAACTTTAAAATGTCCATCATAATACACTTTTCAGCATACATGAGGTGAAAAACAAAAACAAATCATTTAAAATCAAAACTCATACATGCATACAACAAATAGGCAACCAATTAATCAAAACAAAAACATTAAGCTTAGAGGTTACCCAATCCTTTTCAAGTGTGGCTAGAGCATTTGAATATCTTCACTTTCATCACCATTTCTCCCACACACCTACAAGAGACATTTGTTTGGATTTTGGTATCCAAATTGCTTTGGATCCTTGAACGTTAGTTTCAATGCCCTTTGTTCCCTTAGGAATCCATACTTATTTAATTTTAAAACGTTTTCCTTCCTTTAAAGGAAAAGTATGTTCCTTATGACCACGATAATGTCAATGTGAGCATTTTGTCATTATGAAATTGGATGAATTATTTAAAATGATTTTATTTTCTTTTGTTAAGCATTCAAGCTTAACTTTTAAATCAAAACATTCTTTCTCAAAATTTTTAATTTTCACTTTTGAAAACACTAAATCATTTTTCAAAATTTCATTTTGTTTTTCAAAATCCAAATTTTCTTTCAAAAGAAAATTTTCAACTTTAAATTTTGAAATCATTTTCTTGTATTTGGAGTTCATGGTCTTAGACTCCAAAAATAATTCATCGCATGCATCTTGTAACTCATTAAAAGAATATGAATTATATTCACTTGAGTTAGAAGATACCCTTGGCTCTTCAAAAGTCATTAAGCACACCAACTTGTTGATTCTTCTTTCTTGTCACCATGAAGTTCTTCGAGCTTATTCTAAAGGTCCTTGGCATTTGAACAAGAAGAAACACCTTCATATATATAGAGACCAAATGCACAAAATAACATGTGCATGGCCTTGGCATTTTGTTGGGCGTTCTTTTGTTCTTGGGCACTCCACTCCTTCGTCTTCTTATTTGGAGAAGAGTGGTCATTCTCGATCATCTCCCATGCATCAAGATCATTGGATTGGATGAATAACTTCATTAGTTTCTTCCAATGACGGTAGTTTGCTCCATTAAAGTATGGAGGCTTGTCGATCGATTGAGAGTCTTCTATGTGGATGAGCCGGAGGTGTAAGTCATTATCGGTTGTGTCGAAAATGGATAGAGCTTCTTCAAGGATTGTCTCAAAGTTGTTAGACCTTCTAATGAGTCAAGCTCTGATATCAATTGTTGGGATTTGAATCGATGAAGCTCAATTGACAACCGAATATTTCCAAGAAGGGTTGAAGTGGATTTAAAAAAAATTAGGGAGTAAGGAGATTTAAGAGATAATAAAATTGATGCACAACGTTTTATAGTGGTTCGACTTCTCAACCAAGTCTACATCCACTACCTTAACTCCTCACTAAGGATTTTCCAATAAATTCACTAATTTATTCTTTTTTTTACAAGATCAAGAGATAACCTTTACACTCCCTATTTTTTCACTTGGCTAAGTTAGAACCACTACCCTTTTACAAAGGTAAAAAGACTGTAAACAAGAAAACCTCACAAGGTAGGTGTTTACAAAATTAAGTTCACTAAAACACTAATATTTACAAGAGAAATGAAAATAGGAATGAAATTTTTTCTCTTGTGTTTGATTGTTTGGATAGGTGTTCTAACCCTTCTTCAAGTGTCCTCAACTTGTTTTTATAGGTTGGAATATGTTTGTGGGCGTCTCTAGTCGTTGAGGATGAATTGGAGTCGTTGGGGATTATTTCTCTACAAAATAAAACTGCCCAGTACAGGGAGTATCGATACCCCTTTAATGATTATCGGTACTTCCTTTATAATTTTGAAATCAACTAGCTGTTACTAGTCGGGTTTGATTAATATCAATATTATGCTCATGGTACTTGTAAAGTAGTATCAATACCCCTTTGCGTATCAATACCTATTTTGCATTTTGGAATTTGAGACAACTGGTAGTATCGATACTACCTAGAGAGTATCGATACTTCTCTTACCTTTGGTATCAGTACCACATAAACAATATCAGTACTATTCATATAGTATCGATATTGTAAGAATAGTATCGGTACTACTTTCCTAGAAAAATATTTTGAGCTCAAATTTTAGTTTAATGGACTTTGAATTATTTTTGAAAACTTTGAACAAATTCAATTCAAGTCCAAAAACATTTTGCCTTAATTTGTTATATCAAAATATGGTTCAACAACTGAATAAAGAACTGTGGCGTGAAGTGAGGAGGTTGCTAGCATCTACGGAGATCAAACCTATCTACAATATTAGTAAGACATCCTAACTGATTTATTAGTGGTATGTACGTTATATGTGTTGGGTTGTTTTAACAGATCTATTTTTTTTAAAAAGACTGTAATAGTAATTTAGGATTGTTTAATTATGATTAATTTTAGTTATAATCGTATTTATGAATGAAAATTATGAATGATTTTAAATCAAACAATATTAGGTAGTTGTATATAAATATAAAATATTGTTAAACTGCCTAATTGCTACATAAAATCAATTTTATTTGAAGCGATAAAATATTATGTTACAACTATTCAGACTAAAGGAAACAACTTTTTAAATTGTAAAATGGATGTTATAAATACAACAAAATTTTTAACATTTAAATTTAGTAAATGTCAATCAAATTGATGTGACATTTTTAATTTGTATGACGAGATGTAAACTATGAGTGTTACATACGGCTTTGAAACAGCAGAACCCCACTTTGGTCTTGGTGGAATGGAATCGTAACAGTGAAAAATACCAGTGTATTTTCTTGTTATCCAAACAAATTTCTTTTAATGCTCTGGTTTAGCCCAAACGAATCTTTGGCTCGTGGTGCGGGTTTGCACACGAATATAAAAAGCTATGCTCACTATTTATTAAAAAGATGCTATGAACAAGGCGACATTACATGAATACAGTAAGCAATTTACAATGCCATAAAGTTTCAAAAGTCCAGAATAAGTCCCAGATGACTGATAAAAGCATAATCAACAGATTAAAATGAAAACCCAAAAAAAAGAACAGTGAGTTAAACAAGATAAAACTATTCCACTCATTCTACCCTTCTTCACAGGCTTTTTAGCCACCAGGTCCAAATTCAGGACATCCAAGTCGCAGAATTCCTTGAAACTCAAACCCCTACCAGTGATACACTCTCCATTTCCGAGTTTAAAACAGTTCATATAGCTGATCAGTTAATAATGAATTCTCTCATCACTTTCGAATTGCAAGCCCTCCATACCCTTGAAGGCAGCTTCATAGTTCTTGGCATGAGAGGTATTTCTCCCAGACGATGACAGCTTGGGGCCTCCGTGGATAGCATCAGTTGCACGAGAACGTTGGGGGGCAGCCTCGCTACCAGCAAAAGCTTCGCGACTGCCAGAAGCTGCAACGTACCTTGAAGAGGATCCACCTTGCTGCCCCATAAACTTGATGCAAGTAAAATTCAAATCAGCAGTAAAAGATAAGAATCAAATGTGATATACATTGGAACTATCAAAAAACGTAAACAGGACTACTTCATAGGAGTATGTGTGAGTATGTGTGTGTATGCGCGCATACATCCTCAATGAAAAGGAAGTAAGTCGATAACTGGAATTCTAGAATATACTCAATACATGTGCATAATCATAAAATAAAAATTCAACTATAAAAAAAATTCATAAAATAAAAATACCATAGTGTCTTTAGTAACTGCAAAATCATTTCCAACCGGATTTTTCTGCTTTGAGTGACTTGCAGAATTCAAGGGTCCTGATGTTTTCCGCCTAGAGGAATTCATGGATGATAAACCAGTTGCCCGCACGTTCTCCCCAGCTGCAATCATTCATTTCATTATTAAATATTTTAAAAAAAACTTCTAAGAAAAGGAAAGGGGTGTGCTTACATGTCCGTGTGGGTGTTAGAAAAAAACAATTGAGTGATAAAAAAATTCAAAATTTCAATAGTAAGCTAATAGAAAAGACTCAAATGTTTGAAAGGAACACCGGTAACCTGTTTGCCTGTCAGCATTAGCAATGGCAGGGGGCAAGGGAGAACTTGGTCCAGCACCAGGGCCCTACCAGAACAAGCATTATAAAAGATACATTCATACTATTAACAAAAGACAGGAGCAGAACACCCTATTAAGAACTTACAATGGCTCGTGCCGGAGGAGTGGTCAGTTGTGATTGCTGATACTTCAAAATGGTCCAATCAAAGACATAATCAAACTGGAAGCCTGTTTAGAGAAGGATCAAAAAGAACAATGAGAAGATGTGACTTAACTTTGAACTAATTAAATAATACTAGTTGACAGTAAGGATTGTTAAAAATGTGAATGTAGACCTTCACGAATAAAGAGGTCACGGAAGATTCTCTTAAGGTAAGAGTAGTCTGGCTTATCATCAAATCTTAATGACCGACAGTAATGGAAGTATGATGCAAATTCTGTCGGAAAACCTCGACACAAAGCCTGAAACAACACATCAGTATTCAGTCATAAATTTTTAAATGTAGAATCAGAAGCTCCAAGCCACATGTACCTCTTTCTAATACTTCATTCCCTTTACGGAAACCTACTGCAATTGCAATATTCAAACACATCCTTACCTCAATTGAAGTAGAAACCTTCTTCTCACTAATTTTTTCGTACTTCTGTTTCTTTGTTCCGGCTTTCAAACCTTGCCAAGGAAGACTGTTATAAGAGAAGAGACACCAACACTGAAAACTAATGTAGAGATATAAAACGGGAAAAGAAAAGTAACATAGGTAGCAAGAATTCACCTTCCTCTTAGGAAGTACATAAGCACATATCCAAGAGATTCCAAATCATCCCTACGGCTTTGCTCTACATTGTATAGGACAGAGAATCAAAACTGAGAAGACAAAAAAGATTCATACATCAAGAAAAAGACATCTAAAATTGACCACACATACCAATGCCCAAGTGTGTGTTCATGCTTGCATATCTGCAGTTCCAGTCAGATTCTTATTTTCCCTGAAATGGTCATGATTGAGTAAAATATAAAAAATTGGCTAGGAAGTACATAAGCACATATCCAAGAGATTCCAAATCATCCCTACGGCTTTGCTCTACATTGTATAGGACAGAGAATCAAAACTGAGAAGACAAAAAAGATTCATACATCAAGAAAAAGACATCTAAAATTGACCACACATACCAATGCCCAAGTGTGTGTTCATGCTTGCATATCTTGCAGTTCCAGTCAGATTCTTATTTTCCCTGAAATGGTCATGATTGAGTAAAATATAAAAAATTGGCTTCAGTCATGTAAATCAGTAAAAGAAATATTAAAAAATAGAAATGTCAATGCAAGGGAAAGAAGTTCGATGCATCATCATTGCCACAACAAGTAATACAACTAACCCCCTGACAGCTAGGATAACGCTATTGGTATCAGTACCAATCAATGAGATGTGAAACAAAAGTTTTTAAACTATATAATACAATATATTACATCATGCTAATTTCTCTCACCTGTAAGGAATGTGTTGATGTGAACTGTCTCTATATTTCTTAGCCAGACCAAAGTCAATCATATAGACCTATGTGAGGGTGAAAGCAATGGTACATTACATTCTCCTGCAACGTACAAAATGAAGAAAGAAAAAAGCACATACATAACATAATAATATTTTGAGCAGAATGCAGAACCTGATTTGCACGCCTTCCCAGGCCCATTATAAAATTGTCTGGCTTAATATCCCGATGTAGAAATGATTTTGAGTGAACAAATTCAACACGATTGATCTGAGAGAAAGCAAAATAGCATCAAACAACAAGACAACAAAAGAAGAGGAACTAAAGCTAGCAATGTATGGAATTCTAAAAGGCTACCATTTGATCAGCAAGCATGAGAACTGACTTCAATGAGAGTTTCCTATTGCAGAAATTAAATAGATCTTCAAGACTAGGTCCAAGCAAATCCATAACCATAACATTATAGTCTCCCTCTACTCCAAACCATCTTATATTTGGAATCCCAGCTGCCAAGAAAAAGGATAAGCGATATGAAATTTAAAGAACAACCAAAAGTTGAAACAAGAGCTTTATGTTCTAAGAAGAAAAAAGAAACTGTAATTATCATTACTTCCTCCCTGCAGGATCCTGTATAACTTTGATTCATATAATAATTGAGGATGCTTTGTCTTCACATTCTCCTGATCATTAAAGAAAAGGTCATCAACTTCCTTATGTAGCATAAAGAATTTAATATGGATTAAAAGAACTACAACAAAGGAGAAAACTATTATTAAATCTAAAATAAGTAAGCTTTGTTTTACAGAATGTCAGAACTTTAACTAATAAAATCAAAACAATGATTGAAGCAGAATATAAAATCATTAATTATGTCAGTCAGATTGAAAGAGAACTCTAAAAAAGCTTATTAGGTATCGCTGATTAATTAAAAGAGTTCTAAGGAAGTGTCGGGAGAGTAATGAGAATAACATATATACAATGGTAAATTGGTAATCAAAGCTGTAACATAAGTAACCTCCTTTAACCATATTTATCTCAGGAGATAACCACCCAAAGCATCTTCTTCTTGTCTGCTATGATGCCAGCCAACAATTAGAAAATAAGAAATTTACATTTACGAACAAATCCAATCCTCCTTGGGGTAATATACAATGATCCTACAAAGTTAAACCGTAATTAACAGTTTTCTCTCTATTTTGTTAAGGGAGGAGACCACAAATTATGATCATCATTAATTTAATGTAAACCAAAAAATATAAAAAAAATAACCCCAAGTGAAGTATAAAACCAAGAAGATAATCCAACATGTCAAGGGCTCAAAACATCCGCTTTGATATATAATACTTTACCTGCATATTACAATTTTATCCATCATGGTACATTTTAACCTCCTCAACTACATACTTCTACAGTTTATTGCTTCAACATAACCTACGACCAGAGTGCATTACTAAGTTATAAACGATCAAGTTAAAGCAAGAAATCTAATGAACATTCACTGGGATTGAAACCGAGCCAGAATATCAACTACATTGCTATTTTATATAATGTTAATATGCAAAAACTGAACAAATAAAAAAGAAGGTGAATTTGCAAAGGCTACGCACAAGCTTAATGGCAACCTCTTCATTTGTCTGAATATTCGTACCTGCAAATAAAATATATATATCAACCTATATTCAAAATCATACCCAAAAACAGGGGGGGTGGGATTATGTAACATACCCAAATAGATCTCTCCAAAAGAGCCGCTACCGATCTTACGACCAAGCCGAAACTTATTAACGACACGAGGCTCCATCAATTCCAAGCCCTAACTATAACTTGAAACCTTAATCCAGAAAAATCCCCCCATATTTAAAAAAGAAAAGGGAGGAAAATATATGGAGACACTATACAGTAAACACCCAATCAACCGCTCCGACAATTCATACACGTAGAAAGTTCCAATCACGTAAAAGAATTTCAAAAATTCAACAAAAGAAGAATAAGAATATAAAAGATCTAATTTTCCGTCCTTGTTTTAAGCCAAAAACAAACTACTACTATAATTAACAAAAAAGCTAGGGTTAGGTAAACGAAATGAACAAAACGGAGGAAGATAGATAAGAAATCATAATTCTGTTTCCGTTAGTCGCTGGAAACAGATAATTGGCATCATTTTCCATCTCCAAAAGGGTGGTTCGATATTTGACAGTGAGTTTCGCTGGGTTCCGTGGAATGGATTTTAGTCATCGACGCGACAATTGAAATGTCTGAATCACATCACTGTCACCTCGCTAATTTTAGAGTTTTTTTTTGACCTTTTTTCTTTACAGTATCATTGATTGATCTATTGTTTAAATATCTAAAAAATTATTTTATTCTGATTTATTTTAAAATAAATTGTATAAATAATTTTTTTATTATAAAATATTATTTTATTGGGTTCTTCTATTATTAGAATTTAGAAAATAGTACTTTAATTATAGAGTGTTATTTTGTCAAATCTTTCGATTATTCATATGTTTCATATTCATTCTTATTTATTATAAAATTGATAGACGTTTAGACTGAACGTTAATATGTTGATTTAATATGATAAAATGATATTTTAATCATCATTGTCGTTGCTTCCCATACTGACTCGACAACTTAATGTTTTAAGTATTGGTTCAACGATAAAATATAAATGAAGAGTCAATTCACAAAATGCAAGTCAAATGATTTTGGGATAATGTTTTATCGTATCACAATTAAATTAATATCCAACTCAAACGATTATAAATTTTCTAACAGAAAACGATTGAATGAAATAAATGAATAATCAGATAACCATTTTGTAACTTTTAATAGTCGATAAAACAAAGCATTATCTTATAGTTAAGAGATTATTTTGACACTTTTAATGGTTAGTGAACTTTACAAAGTAATATCTTTTAATCGGGAGACTATTTGTGTACTTAGTCCTTTATTTTATTCTTCCAGTTTAATCTAAGGTGATTTTAAATGGTAATATATGTTCTAAAAACTCTCAATTATATAATAATAAATATTTAAATATCTTAAAAATTTTTATACTCAAATTTAAAGCCTATAAAAATAACAGTTATTTTTTTAACATAAAGATAACATGGTTTTTGGCATTTATTCTTAAACTTAATTTTTAAACACTAAATTGTCCTCATTGAAAGTTGAAATAGAAAAAACTAAGACGAAACATAGGCACTTGATCCGCATGGCAGCCCAAAAGGCTAACCAGACTTTAAAGTTGAGCCTTTTCAATTGAATTTGACGGCCCAAACGAACCAGCAAGTCTCCCGGTAGTCGGGAATTTGCACAGTTCACAGAGCAGAGTGTTTCTCTATCACTCTGCTCTATTTCTCTTCTTCTCTTTAGAAATCAACTGAATATAAAAAAAGCCCACTTTTTAATGCATGGAATAACATTCAAGCTCAACGATTTTGTTTTTCATTTCACCCTTCCCCCATCTTTTTACTGATCTTGTAGTTTCAAACAAAGCCGTTCCCTTGCTTGATATGGCGAGATTTGTTCGAAATATTTCTCATCTGAGACGTTCTCTATTAGTTCCACAGGTTTGAATGCTTACCCTTTTGGTTATTCTTTCGTTATTTTTGTCATGTTGAAAGCATTTGATCACTTTCACTGTGGCTGTAATACAAAGAATGGGACTTTGAGTTTATATCTTTGTGCAGGTATGTAGAGCAGAGGTATTAGGGTCATCTTCACAACTCTGTAACTTTTCTTCTAAAGGTATCTGTTCCATTTCAATTTTTTTTTATTATAATGCTGATACCCAAAATAATGTTCTTGGAATATGGTAATTATTTGCACGTGATTGTAGAAGAGTGCTTTTTTCATGGCATTTTTTTTTATCAAACTTTATTGATGTTTGGAAGCTGTGATGGTATTAGATTGAAAGAACTCAAATAGTGCTTCAAGTTAGAGTCCTTTGTGTAATGAAAACATGTGCCATCTAAATGATGTCTCTTTAGCTATTTTGTTTAAGTTGGCTTAATTTTAGTTGGAAATTAAGTAAGGTACTTACTTTATTGTCTGTGGATGTATCTTGACGCATGGCTGTTTGAAGCTAGGAAGAAATCCAAGTCGGATGGAAGTGATTCCGGTGAGGAGAATATGTCCAAGAAAGATTTAGCCCTAAAACAAGCACTGCATCAGATTACTAGTTCTTTTGGAAAAGGATCTATCATGTGGCTTGGTCGTTCTGAGTCTCCTAGGAATGTTCCAGTAGTTTCCACTGGTTCTTTTGCTTTGGACGTTGCACATGGAATCGGTGGCCTTCCAAAGGTAATCTGCAATTCTTGCTTCTTCTTTACCTTCCTTCTACTAAGAAATAGCTGCTCAAGATGTTTAGTAGTTCCTTAGAAACCTCTTTATTGGGCTATTACAGGGCCGTGTCGTGGAGATTTATGGACCAGAAGCTTCAGGGAAAACAACACTTGCATTACCTGTAATTGATGAAGCACAGAAACAAGGAGGTCACTTAATGTAGTTTAACTTAGTATTGTCTCATTTATGATTTGTCATGATGAATTTCTCATTTCATTACGTCGTCCATTATTATGTCGTGGCAGAGGAGATTATCTTTGCATTTGTAACTTCATCCTGTCATGCTACTATAAAATAAATTTCTTATGTTTCATGTTTAGAACCGACGATAGGAAACATTGATAGGCTAGACTTTCATGTTAATCCAATGAGAAGTACATGCAGCAGCATATGACATTCTTAAATCTATTTATAGGGTGAACACATTTGGAGGGTGGAGGACATTTTGTTGTGACTATCTTCTATTCTGTCTGTTGTTTCTGTTAACTTCGTGCTGGAAGATTACATTTTTTTTATAATATTTTAAAATGCAGGTTATTGTGTTTTCGTTGATGCCGAGCATGCTCTTGATCTAGCTGAGACAATTGGGGTAAACACCGAGAATTTGCTTCTTTCGCAACCAGATTGTGGAGAACAGGCCCTCGGTCTTGTAGACACCCTTATACGGAGTGGCTCGGTGGATGTTGTTGGTGACAGTGTAAGGTGTCTTTGGATTCATTTTTTTTCCATGGAGTGTTTCCTAATAAACACTGCTGGCAATTGGCTTATTATTATTTGTGTGCCGAATAAAATGGGTATTTGTTGTTGAAGGGTTGAAGTTCTGTAGTTTTCTCTGTGTGATACTGTGACTAATTACACTTATTTGGAAGAGTCTTGAAAATGGCTTTATTCCCACTTCAGGTAGTGCCCTAGTGCCTAAAGGCGAGCTTTATGGCGAGATGGGTGATGCTCATATGGCAATGCAAGCCAGACTGAGGAGCCAGGCTCTTCGTAAATTGAGCCATTCTCTATCATTATCGCAAACCATATTGATCTTTATAAATCAGGTATAAGTTCTATATCCTGATTATGACACTCATGAGTTTTATGAAGCGTTAATTTGTTAATATGCACAATGTTCATCGACATTTAAACTTTTTCCCCTTAGGTAAACTTTTTGCCCCAATTTTAAGGCTTTTATTAGGCTATTGAATTGATTCATTATTTCTTAGTTGAACTGTTCCTCTTGATGGAGGTCCGGTGCAGAGTTCTCACAAGATTTTAGGTTCAGAATACGAAATGAGGCAAGCCTTTTCTTTTTGTTTATTATAGGACATTAACTATTTATAGTTATCAGGTAAGGTCAAAACTTTCAACCTTTGGATTTGGTGGGCCAACTGAAGTTACCTGTGGTGGTAATGCCTTGAAGTTCTACGCTTCCGTGCGTCTAAATATTCGGAGAACCGGGTTTGTCAAGAAAGGAGAAGAGGTATCAAGTTATATCCTTTCTTTCCTCTTAAGTTTGATAGCTGGATTCGGATGTAGTGATTCAAGAAAGTCTCTGATCATATAATTCATGTAAACTCTCTGATAATTTTGGAAGGACTTAATTCTTTAATCAATTAAGACATTTCACAAAAGACTCGTGTCGAAGATGGGAAATTTAAAAAAGATCTGAATCTACATAATTCTCTTCTTTACAGTTGAATGAATTTTGTCATATTTTCCATGAATCATTGTGTTTGTTGATGTTTCTGTGATATTCAGATTGTTGGAAGTCAAGTTGCTGTGAAGATTGTGAAGATCAAGCTTGCCCCTCCATTTAAGAATGCTGAATTTGAGCTTGAGTTCGGGAAGGGGAGATCATAGATCTGGCGACGAAACACAAATTCGTTACGAAGGCCGTCGCATTCTACACTTACAATGACCGAAAATTCCATGGCAAAGAAGCCTTCAAAAAGTTTTTGGCTGAAAACGAAAGTGAGCGGGAAGAACTTGCGGCGAAACTTAGAGAAAAGCTACACGAAACCGAGAGCAAGAAGGAAAGACAGGCTGATATTTCTGGTGGGGATACATCAGAAGAAATAACTTCGAAGGATACTTTTGACGAAGAAGCCGTTACAGCCATTGAAGCTTAAGTAGTACCCGTGTGAATCGAAACGAAATGAAACGTCCCCTTGCGCATTGGTTGAATTTTCTGGTGGTCATGATGATGGAAGGATTTGAAGGTCTGATGCAATGGATTGAAAAATACATAACCTTCATCAGCCACATTCGACATGTTAACGAGTCAAAATATATGTTCTCTCTCTCTCTCTCTCTCTCTCTCATTTAGGTAAAAATATTGTTTTTCTTAATTTAATGACTTAATAAAAAATAAGTGTATAAATTATGCTTCAGAAAATATTTTAGTGCATAAAGAATTTTGTGCTCAAAATAGGTGTGTAGACACTCGTTTTTGTCCGTGTCTTCTTTTTATTTATTATTATTATTATTATTATATTTTATTTATTTACAATTTACAATTTAATTTTTTTGCAGGCCAATTCCGAGGCCCAAACCTAAAGCCCAACCAGTTTACAACAGGCCTACCCAGTTTGAACCAACCCATTAGATTAGGGTTTTAAACCTTAAATAGATTAGGGTTTTAACCCTAATCCCCTAACAGCCAACCGCCGTCGCCATTTAGCCTTCGACTTCCAGTCGAGCCTCACTCCCGACAGTCTCTGAATCTGTCCGCCTATACCTACAGTGACAACCATATCAACATCAACAGTGAGATAGCAGAGAAATCAGTGAAAAAGTAGAGAAAAAATCCAAACAAATCTCATCAAATCCAAGAGAGGGCAGCATGAGTATAGGGATATCA